AAGCGGGCGGCCCTTGTTTTTAATTTTCGTGCTTCAGTGGGATCCGTTGGAAGTTCCCCCTTCTTGAGATACTTCAGGATTGGAGTGAACCAGCATGGTTCATCCTCGTCGGTGTACTGTACTTCACTGGGTGAAGTTATCTCCGGCTGAGGTAAGGTAAGGAGCGTCACCTTCCGACTTCCGATGCTGGCCATGGAGCTTCCCAGCCTAGCTAATTTGTCAGCATGGATGTTATTGGAGCGAGGTACTAGTCTTATCTCGTAGCTCCCGAATTTAGATAAGAGAGTGTGCGCGAGAGCTAAGTATTTGGCCATGGTGTCTTCTTTAGCCTCGTAAGCTCCGAGTACTTGGTTGGCGACGAGCTGAGAGTCGCTTTGGATTAGGAGCTTACGGGCTCCAGCAGCTAGGGCGAGGCGGATTCCCGCTATCAGTGCTTCATATTCATCGACGTTGTTTGAGGCGGTGAATTCGAATCGTTGAGCATACTCGAATTCATCTCCGTCGCGGTTTGTTAGTACGATGCCCGCTCCACCTCCTATGGCAGTGGAAGATCCATCGACGCTGACGGACCAAGTAGGTAGAGAGGTGCTTTCTTCTACTGAGGCCATTTCGACTAGAAAGTCGGCCAATACTTGTGCTTTGATAGCTGGGCGGGGTTTGAATTCTATTCCATATTCACTTAGCTCTATCGCCCATTTTGCTAAACGCCCGGATGTTTCGGGACTCCTTAGTATTTGTTTCAACGGATAATTGGTGAGAACCACCACTTGATGTGACTGGAAGTAAGGTCGAAGCTTCCGGGCTGCGTTGATGAGGGCAAGGGCGAGTTTCTCCATATTGGAATAGCGCTGTTCGGCTCCTTGAAGAGCGCGACTTATGTAGTATATGGGTTGGTGGTCTTTTCCTCCATCTCGGATGAGGACTGCGCTGACTGCATCAGCTGAGGTAGCTAAATATAATAGAAGGGTGTCTCCGGGCTGAGGTTTTGTGAGCAAAGGTGGTGATGCGAGGTATGACTTTAGCTCAGTGAAGGCTTTTTGACATGCTTCATCCCACTCGAACTTTTTTCCTCCCCTTAAAATCCTGAAAAAGGAGAGAGCCTTGTCCGCTGATCTTGAAATGAATCTGTTCAGGGATGCCAAACAACCGTTGAGCTGTTGAACTTTCTTGATCGATGTTGGTGGAGCCATGGAGGTGATTGCTTCGATTTTCGCGGATTTAGCTTCGATTCCTCGCTGCGAAATCATATAACCCAAAAATTTGCCTCCCCGAACCCCGAATGAACATTTGAGGGGGTTGAGCTTCATCTTATATTTTCGCAGGGTGGCGAAACATTGATCCAAATCAGTTAGGTGGTCCGAGACCTTGACACTTTTGACGAGCATGTCGTCGATATACACCTCCATATTCTTACCGATATGATCTGCGAACATGGCATTCACTAGACGTTGGTAAGTGGCTCCCGCATTTTTTAATCCGAAAGGCATGACTCGATAGCAATAGATGCCTTGGTCTGTGATGAAGCTAGCCCTCTCTTGATCTTCTGGTGCGAGCAAGATTTGGTTATACCCTTGATAAGCGTCAAGGAAGTTGAGGAGCTCACATCCCGAAGTTGAATCGATGAGTTGGTTGGTTCTAGGTAAAGGAAATGGGTCCTTAGGACAAGCTTTGTTGAGGTCAGTGAAATCCACGCATAACCTCCACTTTCCCCCGGGTTTGGGAACGAGTACTACGTTTGACAGCCATTCAGGATACTGAACTGGTCGTATATGACCCGCCTCTAGAAGTTTCGCCACTTCTGCCTTGATGTGCTTGTTGCGTTCGGGTCCAAATGTTCGTTTCCTTTGTTTGATTGGCTTCAACCTTTTGTCGACGTTAAGCCGATGTAGAGCTACATGAGGGGGGATGCCCGACAAATCTTGAGCTTTCCAAGCGAACACGTCTCCATTGTGCCGCAAGAATTTGACTAATTGCTTCTCCATCTCAGGATCTAAATCGGATCCGATGCGTAGGAGTTTGGAATCATCTCCAGGTGTGAGCTCTATGAGCTTAAGCTCTTCGACAGCGGCTAGCTTGATGCTATCGTCTGGTACACTGATGAGGATTTCTTTATTATCTTCAGTGATCGCGTTGACCCACTTCCGTTTGTCGGATTTTTGGGTGTCGTCTCCCCTTCTGGATGGTTTAGGCTTCTTGGAAGGTTCTCGTAGGGCCCTTGCATAGCACTCTCGGGCGAGATGTTTATCTCCAAGTACTTTCCCCATTTCATAGGGAGTAGGGAACTTCCACTTCTGATGGTAGGAGGAAGGCACTGATTTGAATGTATGGATTGCTGGCCTCCCTAGGATGATGTTGTAGGGGGATGGCTTGTCGACGACGAGGAATTTGATTAGTTTTGTGATTCGACAAGGGTCTTCCCCTAAAGAAACGGGCAGCTCCACTTCTCCCATGGACAAAATGCCTTCTCCTGTGAATCCTTTCAGGGGTGTGGAGATGGGACTAAACCGGGCATTATCTATGCCCAGCTGCTTAAAAGCGTGGAGGTACATGATGTCAGCTGAGCTCCCACCGTCCACTAATATCTTCTTAACCAATAAATTGGCCACCGTTGTTGTTACTACCAATGCATCGACATGATCTTCATCTGGACCTTCGAGGTCGGAGGAGTTGAAGACTATGCTATGATCAGGTCTTCGTATTTGATAGATGTGTGCGGATGGGGAAGCACGTTCTTGATTCATGCGTGCTGATCGAGCAAGGGTGCGTCTTGCATATTGTGAATCGCCACCCGCCGGTCCTCCGGAGATAAATGAGATGATTCCTCGGGTAGGTTGGTTATCGTTGTTATCTGGGTCGCGTTGATGACCCCCATCTTCTCGTCTTTGCTGTTGATCTCGATTGTTATCTCGGCGTTGAGGATCATCACGGCGCTTATTTCGAGGCTTATCAATGTATTCGCCTAAATGGCCCTGTTTGATCAGCCTCTCAATCGGCGCTTTGAGTTGTGCACATTCCTCCGTAGTATGCCCTCTGTCCTTATGGAATCGACAATAGCGATCCGACTTTTCTCGCTTTGCATTTGGCTCCATAGGACGTGGAGGCTCTGCTAAACCTTTATGTTCTATCACGTGAAGGATTTCAGTGAGGCGAGCGTTTAGCGGAGTGAACCTATTGTAGGAGGAAGAGGGTTGACCTTGAGGTGGAAGTGGTGGACATCGATCATCCCGCCTCCTATTATCTTGATGGTCATCTTCCCTTTTCCTTTTAGGAGGAGCATGGGTAGAGGCTTCCTCTATCCGGAAGTATTTTTCGGCTCGATTCAGCAACTCCTCTAGGTTGCCTGGGGGTCTTCCGGCGATAGACTCTTTGAATCTACCCGGTTTCAAGTTCTGCTGCATAATCCCGGAGAGCATGTCTTGCCCTACACTGGGGACTTCATGGACGGCTTCTACAAAACGCTTAATGTAGTTACGGAGCGTTTCGTTATCTCTCTGTACTACAGAGAAAAGTTGAGCTGGGGTCTTGGCATATTGTTTGTTGATGGCGAATTGGTTGGTGAACCGGGTTGATAACCGAGCGAATGTGTCAATCGACCCCATGGGTAGAGAGTTGAACCAATTCATTGCCCTCTTGGAGAGAGTGGTGCGGAACATTTTGCACATCGCAGCATCCGTCGGGCCATATAAATCCGCCATGGCACTGAATTTCTCTATATGCTCCTGTGGGTCGGTGGTCCCTTCAAATTGAGGTAACCCCGAGATCTTTACTCCTTGAGGTAATACCTCGTTGAGAATGTCTATGGTGAAGGGACTGCGTCTTGTTGGGACAGGCATTCTTTCACCAATTGGATTATTTGGTTGGGGGAAAATATTTTGGCGAGACATTCTGCTGTTTACCTCGCCTTCTCCCTCATTAAAGAGAGGGACTCTCTGTGGTGACGCATTCCCCCGTGGGGGTGAGCGCTGACGCTGTTGTCTGGGCTGTGCCCCTCTGTGATTAGTAAATAGCTGCACTCGGGACCGTGGGTCCGAGGTAGAGGAGGAGACACTTATTTGATTCTGGATTGGCTGTGGGGCCACGGGTGGCACTATAGGTGGAGCTGGCGCTGGTATCGCATTGGGAGCGTTTGCTCCCATCGTGGCGATATATTGAGTTACGGCCTCTGTGGCGGCGCGAGTTGAGGCTTCTGCTATCATGCGTTGGAGCGCGTCCTCGGTTATTTGAAACGTTCGAGGAGCAGGGAGTGGTGGATCGGCGATTGGTGGGTCCCGATGAGGGATCACCTGAACCTCGCGAGGTGGATCCGCGGCACGTGGAGGAGGTGGCTCCGCGATACGTGGGGGAGGTGGCTCCGCGGTGCGTGGAGGAGGTGGCATACCAGATCCTCCACGGACTGGGAGGTTATTAGCTGTGTCATTTTCTCTCCGAGCAGACGCCTCAGGAGGATCTTGTTGGCTACGTGATCTGGTTTGCATCGTTCCCACAGACGGCGCCAAAATGATGATGCTAAAATATAGCTTACGTAGGGTGGTGTAGAAAATGAGCTGGGAGAGCAAAGCGGATCAGTAGCTGGACAACTTGATGATCCTGAGGTCCCTGCCAAATGAACACACGTGAACTACGCCGGGGGTTGATCCAGCGGAAACCTCTCCGACGCTCAAGTCAGATATACGGATTGCCGAGATGGTAGAGAGAATTAAACTCTAGCTTGTAGGTGAATAATGGAAACGTACCTTAACAAATGAGTAAAACATCTATTTATATATCGGTGATTGGGTTGGGGCTTAATTTGTTGGGCCCAAGCCTTACTTTGAAGGCGTTTGGGCTTTCGTGTAGTGGGTCTAATTAGTAGATAAATTTGAGGGCCCATTGGACCGGCCCATTTAGGTATATCACAATGCAGTGCATAATTATTATACATACATGTACTCAGGGTATTATCATAGCTTTAAAACTGATTAAATGATTCAGTGTAGTCTTGTTTTTCGTCGGTGACATCATCATTTCGAAGCAACTTTACGAAATCCTCGTTCCTTTTCTGGATTTTGATCTTGAACTAATTGCATGCAGCCCGCGCGATTAATTTCTCGATCTCCAACTAATGTGCGATATTTTTGATAAATTTTCAAGAACGATTCTTTTTCTCCAGCCGACATTAGTAGTTCACTATTGTCTGGCTGATCCATCTCCATCTCCGCTTTAATATTATTAATAATTCTATAAAACTGATCCTTATTAGCAACACAAACTTCTTCTTCTTGATTTTGATCTTCAACGACTAATTGCACGCCCGCGTGATTGATATTGCAATGTGATGCAACAACTTCTTCTTCTCCTCGGTTTTCTCGTACTGCAACTTGTTCTTGTTCTTCTTCTTCTTGATTTTCTTGAACATTCGCCCGCCGTTTATTACTACTGCTTGATTTCAAAACATTCTTATGAATATGGCAAATAACCCAATCATCCAACAGCAAAACAACAAAATAATACATACAGTCATTTAATAATAAAAAACTTATTATTAATTACAAAATTATTATTAAATATGGGATCGATCATTATCTTCGCCTAATTAATTATTTAATTAATTAATTAAATAATTAGATATTATATACCTTCATGTTGTCGTTGGCATCTCTTTTATTCCGGGAAGGATGAATAGCTGTATATTCATGCATGATCCAATCGGTATTAATCCCGTCTTTTGAAGATCTTCCTTCGTGAAAAACCAAAGTCATCTTGTGTCCGATAATTTTATTATTAAAATTAATAGCCTTGTCGGCACAACTAGCTTTCCAAAATCTGTTGCCTGCAGTTCGATTGGGCCGCGATCCGTTCGCATACTTTCGAATCCTCGGCGTGAAAAAATACCATTCCCATGTGTCCAACTGGTGGATATTCGCCTGTATATATTTTCAAGAATTTAAGATCAATATGCATGTAAGATGAAAATAATCATAAAATTAAAAATCAGATCCATAAAAAAAGAAAAGAAAACAAAAGATCATGCATGAACAAGGAAAAGTTGACAACTTAATTAATTAAAAATAATCAAGAAACCTCAATACAATTAAGATGAAAATAATCGTAAAACCTAAAAATCATAATCCATAAAAGAACACATACACAAGATCATTCATGCATGAACTTTAAAAAAACAAAAAACAGAAACAAATTACGTAGGTGTCAAAGTATCGGGACCGTGATCGGAAAAGTTGACGACTTTTATAACGTCAGCTGGTAAAGGCTGATTGTCGATCTTCCTTAGTAAGTATTCAACGATGAGTTCTTCATCCGTCGGCACGAAACGATAACCTGGCGAATACGACTCCATTGCTATAATCGATCGATCATAGATTTAATAAGTTTTTTTTTCTTTCTGTAAAATGAATAGTGCATGCAGATTGCAGCTCTAAGAGGTTGTATTTATAATATTCGTTACATAGATACCACGTCTAATGGACTCTTTTCTTCTCTCCTATCATCGCATAATTTTAGTTATAATGAAATCTTTCTTCTATCATACCAAGTCTATCCGCCCACCTTTATTATTTATTTATTTATTTATTTCTCTTTACATTTTTTTTCAATTTTTTTTTTCTTCAAATAAAAATATTTTTTTCTTATAACAAATCAATTTACTTAGATCATTTTTTATTGTTATGAAAAGGGGCTTTTGATATAACCCCTCAACACTTATTTTAATAAGGAGATTCACAAACTATTTTGCATCATTTGAGAAAAATCCACTACTGATTTCATCCACTCATTTTTCCAATTATGTCCCTGCCACCTCATCAAACACTATCTGCCCATCAGCGGTTCTTTTGTTTTTTTTTTTTTGTTTTTTTTTTAATTATTTTATTATTATTATTATATTTTTTAAATTCAAATTTTTTTTAATATATTTTTTTGTTTTTTAAATTTTTTTCTCTATCGAGTATATTAATTGACTATGAAGCATATTAAATCGACTATCATGAACCATAGTCGATTAAGGAACCGACTACTAAAAATAACAAATCACAACTACAAAAATGCAAACTCAAACATATTTTACAAAAACAAACAATATACAAACATTATAGTTCATTTATACAATTGAAATCAATAAAAAAAAATCCAAAAAAAATTAAAAATTGGAGTCAATGAAGCATATTAATCGACTATGATGAAGCATAGTCGATTAAGGAATTGAGTACTAAAAATAACAAATCACAACTACAAAAAAATGCAAAATTAGTTATATTTACAAAAACCAAATATACAAACATTATAATTGTTTATACAATTGGAATCACGAAACAAAATACCCAAAAAAAAAATAAAAAAAAATGGAGTTGATTAAAACCTTAATCGACTATCAGAGCATAGTCGATTAGCTTAATCGACTATAGAACATGTACGTAGTCAATTAAGGTTCTAGCCTGCGCAAATTTCTCTACACACGTCGTCTTCCGCCCGATCAACCAAAAAACCCTAAATATGCCTCCTTATCGTCACCACCCCGCCGCCACACCACTTTATTCAACCGATCCCTAACAAGAATAAAATAAATAAAATAAACAGAGGAAAACCCGTAGAAAATAGTATTCAATAAATATAATTAAAAGTACTTCAAATGTTCATAGAAATAAAAAAAAAAAAAAACAAAAAAAAAAAAAAAAAACAACTTCTAGTTAAAATACCTTACCATATGGTTCATCTGATACTGCAAAATATCCCCTGGCCCACCATCGTGATTCTCCCTTACGGTGAACGGCGCCACCAACGGCACATACAACCACCCCAACAACCTCGGGCTGGCGTCCACCAGACCTCGCCCCGCAGCAGGCCCCGTTGAATCGTAAAAGATTTGCCCTTTTAAAGAGAAATTCCCGCTGGTCGACGCCGCCGCCAAACTGCACATTGTTGTCGTTACTAAGAAACATCCTCATCAGATTCTGATAATCAATTACAGCTGATGATTCGTCCACTCCAAATCCACCCCTCTAAACTCTACCCCACCCGGCGGAAAGGTGGTGGTAGGCGGCGACAAACACTCTTCCACCACCACCGTCGTCGGTCGCCGTCAAACATTCTTCCAAAGTTCCTGTCTGATCTCCTTTTCCGATGACGCCTTGCTTTTCCTCCGACTTTCAGTCGAGCAGTGAAGAGAGAAGAGAGAAGATGAGAAGATGAGAAGATGAGAAAAGGAGAGAGAAACGGCAAATGAAATGGGTTATGATTTTGAAACCTGAAAATGAGATTTAATATCAATAAGGGTGGTTTGGGAATTATTAAAATCGCATTTGGGTGGAATATTAGGGAAGGGGGTTTTCTCTAATGATTTTTGGAGGGGGTGTTTCCTTAACTACATTTCCTAGATTGGGGGTTCTTGCTAATTTTCCCTATGAAAAATCCTCCTTAATTTAGCAAGGATATGATAAGATTCAATAATTATTTTTAAGATAATTTAGATAAACATTATTGATCATATTTAATTTTTGGGGCCTTAAGATATAGGTCCCTAGTGACAAAACTTATTAGAACTAAATGACAAGCTAAACTAAACATTTGCTACACATTCTTTATAAAATTTCTTCCAAAATTGCCGCTCCACTCACAAATTCGAAATTTGCATTTAAAAATTCAAATTGCATTTATCATTTATTTAGTCTGCATTTTTACATCAAATATTTAAAAGAAAAAAGAAAAAAGAAAATTTAATGCAAACACACTTGTCTTTATTTTTTTTCTCTTTCTTCATTTTAACATTTTTACACTATTATAAAATAATTAATTTCCTTTTTTTTTTAACATATTATTAAAAATTACAAAAAATATGTTTTTCGTTTTTTTAATTCAATTTACATATATTTTATTTTATTTGTTGTCAATACTATAGTAGTCAATGGTATACTATAGGATCTTATGATATACTACGGTGTAATGTGGTTTACTACAGCGTACTATCCCACACCCTAGTAGAAAAACAACTCTCAGCCGTCGCCAAAACCCTAGTAGCCAACAAACTAGCAGCCGCTGCAAACTCCTATCCACCAAACCCCAGCAGCCCACCAAAACCCAATTGCAGTAAAAAAAAACCTAGGTTGATGCAACCGCCTCCCACCGTCAATCTAACATCACACCACCATCTCTAATGGCCATCTACCACTATAACCATCCCCTCCACAACCACGATCGCCACTGCCATCGCCTCCCTCTACCGCCACTTTTGGATGATAATAGAGATGTACGCCATAGCCACCATCTCTCTCTACCATTAATTCGGGATAAGCCGCCGTTGACGGAATTTGCAGATCTGTTGTTCTCCGCCACCCACCATAGCCACCACCATAGCTGTCGTCACCAGCCCAACCATAACTGAGCGGCGAGAGAGATGTGGAGAGATAGCGACAGAGAGAGGGAAAGAACGAGAAGGAGAGGGGGACAACGAGAGGGAGAGGGAGAGAATGAGAGAGAAGCAAAAGAGAAAACAAAAGAGGAGAAATAGATCTGATAATTTGGACAAACGTGAATATAGATGCTATATTTAGGGTTTAAGAGCAAACTAGGGATTAAAAAAAATTGAAGCAGGTGGCTCATATATTATATTTGAGAGTAGGGATATAATTAAAAGATTTAATTTAAGGTTGCCGTTTAGTTTAAATAAGGTTTGATTTGAGGGGTTCTTAACATATTACCCCTTAATATTTTTATGTAATTCATAATTTTCACGATAATTTGATATAAAAACCCTAACTTCTCATTTGAACCGTAGCTGCCAGACACCCATAGTCACTCACATATAATTATAGACATCAAACCGAAAAATCTTAGATCCGCCCCACCAAACCCTAGATCCCCTCCACCAAACCCTAGACACGAAGCCAATACCACCCACGCCGCCATCGTCATTCCCTACCCCCAACATCGTCGCGCCACCAGGACCATCCCCCAAGCCCAGATCCGCCGCCCAACGAGCGCCATCATCATGCCCAACGCCGCGCCACCACCAGCACCTTAAATTTTAGGATATAAGGACAAGATAGGGCTTAAACAATTGAAGGATGTGGGTCATTATTATTTCAAACTAATAATTTAATTAAAACATTGGATATGATTTTTTTACTTAGTGCAAATTGTGTTTTATTTTAGGGCCTCATAGAATATTCATAGTAAAAATAATATTTAAAATCCTCAAAATTCTAATCTTATTCAATTTTAATTTTATAAACTAACTCAAAAGATTCTAAAATTTCTAAAACATTACATGTTTATTTTAAGAAAATATTAGCACGACCCCGCTCATTTGATAAATTCATGTAGGAGGAGACCTCTGTGACACCCCTCTCTCGATTACCCTTATTATATGTAATCTCAGCGGAAGACTTTTGAAAACATGATTTTTGTGGATATAAATTTGCGTGAAATTTTTTCTTTTTAAATCAGAGGGAGAGAAGGCACAGCTTGCTAAACCCTAATCGATCAATTAACACCAATGCATGCTACATGCAAGACTAGGAAACAACTAGGCATGATGGACTGAATGCAAATACGGACAGATTCAATGCAGAAGCTTTAAAAATTAATTCTTCTTAAAATACTCATGAAAATGACCCCACAATAATACCATACCATCTAACATGGGTCTAGATCACTCAGTTAAAATAGTTTTGAAATATCCATGGCCATTTAGGAGAAATAAATAAAATGGCACAGTCACTCGATTTAAAATCCAGAACAGGGGAGGGAGTTTTGAAAATTCACAATATATTCCTCACTGACTCAAAAACTACCAACTTTTACCCCAAGGCAGAAAAATAAGTGTAAAACATTTTCCAAGTGGAAACAAGTCATTTGGGTGAGTAAAACTCCAGTTAGAACAGAAAACACCCGAATGGCCCTGTTTCAATGCAGTAGTGAGAAATAAATCATAACTAAATGAATACTTACCCAAATTATGCACAAGACCTATCAAAATGATGAACACAGAGAGATGCAGAGACTCCTAAAATTTCATGATTTTATAAGCAGAGAACCTATATGAAAATAATTTTAGAACATGGAGACAAAACACGAAGAAATTACTAGTCGAAAGCATGCATGCATTTAAATAGTGAAAATTTGCTTTCGCTTACAAAAGACTACGGATTACCGATTAATTATCCAAAATAGGGTAATCCTAATTACTATTACACACGTTGTCTTTTAATAATTTCCACCGATCGGAGGAAGCGAACTGTAGAAAATACCTAAAACCGTATCAAAAGTTTTTACAAGCACATTATACAAATAAAACCACATGACTAAGTTGAGAGCCAACACTATCCACAACCCTTCCATACGATC